GAGATCATGAATCGATTAACTTCAGACCACAATTAAAAACCTGGAAGCATTGGATGGCCATTTTGTCCTAGTATGAGTACTCTCAGTAGTGCGCATCCCCGATCCCACCCGCGGGACTCGAACGCAGGTCCTTCAGTCTAGCACACGAACGCTTAACCTCTAGACCACTGAGCCGGTATCCAGCGGTGTTATTGTCCAACTTCAACCAATCTACGAAATCGCGCCACCATCTGCCATTCTACTGAGGTAGATACCTGTTTCAATCTGACTTGGAATAGCTCTACTGGTCACGACTACTCACTAGAACTCTTATTAACTCTTATTAACCCGGCGCTTCTGCTATCAATCATTATTTTATGTGCCAAAACCTGAAACCTAAACATACAAAAACAAACAATTTATTTAGTTATCTTCAGATTATGGACTTTTCACATAATCCGCATATAACTGACTCATGTTATCCTACTTACTAAAATCAACATCTAAATATGATTGGATAAACACAATGAAGTTTTGCTTTGATTGTTAAACATTATATATTCTTTGAAACTTTTGATTTTGATTATTACCCAGAAGAGGTTCAGACAAGTTTAATGGACGTAACGTTGGAATTATTTAAGTTTCAATCGCTAGGATTATTTTATTATTATTAATGGCTTTATTCAATATTTTGTTTTGGTACAGTATAGAATTCACAGCACAAGTTTCTTTTACAAAACAAAAAAGGAAAAGGTGAAAAATTACGTGAATCTATACAACTTTTCAACTAGAGACATGTATAAGAATTATTATTATTATTATTATTATTATTATTATTATTATTATTTGGACACATGAATATTGGTACAGGAGAGCGCCAATATAAATGCGCCACACAGAACAATGAAAATTCGAGAGGAATACAAAGAAAGAAAAAAAAGCTAAGGAGCGCAACAAAAAAAAGAGAGAACAATAACGAAGAGATTGGTGTAAGGTAATGTGCTAGTAATCAGGGAACGCAAAGGTACAATCGGAAGAAATCTTTCAGGTAAGGGAGACAGAACCACTTTTTATGAAGAAAGTAAAAGAAGGTTACAGCAGGATCGCCACTGGCTTCTATTCTGAGCCATATCTGATAACGTCTCTAGCCACTGTGTAGCACCATCTCTCAGACCCCAACCAGGGAGTCGTGAAGGACCAACACAAGCCAGTCCTTTGCAGCTTAATTTCATACCACGACACCATGTCATGCACTGATCACCTCTCCGCTTCTTCCAACCAGTCCCAGAGTCGGCAAATAATGCACGACGTGGAATTCTCTGGGACGACATTCGTAGAACATGTCCAAGCCACCGAAGTCGGTGTTTCAAGATGGTGACACCAATTGAATTATCATCTCTGTGCCCGAACACACGATGCCGAACCTCTGCATTACTGACATGGTGTTGCCACTGAATGTCAGCAATCCTTCGGAGACAGCGATGATCGAACACAGAGAGTCGTCTAACGTCCTCAACTCGGAGAGGCCAGGTTTCACAAGCATAGAGCAAAACTGCTCTCACCGACGCGTTGTAGATCCGACCTTTTACGGCCAGACTAACATCACGAAGGCGCCATAGATGGCCCAGATTGGCATAAGCCGCTCTGGCTTTCACTATACGTTCATTGATCTCATCACTCACACCCCCACCAGCACTTATGCAGCTACCCAGATACACGAATTTCTCGACTACGTCTATCTGCTCACCATCCAGGGTGAGTACAGGATTAGGATCCTGCCAGTCTTGTAGGAGTACTTTGCACTTCGAAGGTGCAAAGCAAATACCGTACCTACGGACACTGATTGCCAACTGATTAAGCGTGGACTGCATGCCTTGGGCATTATCGCACAGTAAGACAATATCGTCCGCATACTCAAGGTCGAAAAGTCTTTCTCCAGGCAACAGATCCACACCACCATTACTTACATTCATCAGAGCTGTTTCCAGAATGTCATCGATGGCAAAGTTGAAGAGGAATGGTGAGATTGGGCAACCCTGCCTAACCCCACTGCTCGAATGGAACAATGGAGAGAGGTGGTTGTATGCCCTCACTCTGCCTGAGGTGTTTTTATATAGGGCTTTTAGGATGTTAATAAACTTCTCAGGCACACCCTTCTTCATTAGACAATCCCAGAGAACAGTTCTGTCCAACGAATCGAAGGCAGCCCTGATGTCAAGAAACACTACGATTGTTGGCCTTTGATAAGTATGGCGGTGTTCTAACATTTGGCGGAGGGTGAAGATATGATCAATACATCCTCGACCAGAACGAAAGCCAGCCTGCTCCTCGCGAGTCAAACTTTCTCGGGTTTTGAACAACCTACGAAGAATGACGGAAGCCAATAGCTTGGACGCAATCGGAAGTAGACTTATCCCCCGATAGTTGTTACAGGAACGACGTGAACCCTTTTTAAAGATAAGGACAACTATCGACTCATTCTATGACGTCGGCACACTCTCTAATTCCCAAACCTTTGTAAACAACGTCGTCAATTCCTTAGTCAAAAAGTCACCACCATCTTTAAAAAGAGCCGGAGGTAAGTCATCTTGGCCAGGTGATTTGTAACGCTTCAAGAGTTGGAGTTCCCTGCGGACTTCCTCCTCGTTTGGTGGATCAGTCGTCACCGGCCATGGAGGGCAGGACAGTCTGACCGATGTTGCCGGAGCAGCAGGCCAGTTGAACTGCCCTTCGAAAAATTCTGCCCACCGTCCAAGACGTCGATGGATGTTAGTGATTGGCATCCCCATGTATAAGAATACAGGTTATTGACTAGGTTATCTCCAACAGCCTGTTCGTCACAGAGTATATTTGCTAGGTAAGGTATTATGGATCTTTTATACCTTTGCTTGCGTGCTATGATTTTGATACATTTATGTACCGTCCTATCAGAAGATATACAAATGATGTCTTCTATATACCCGGCGCCCAACTTCTGTCAAAGTATTCGCTCTAATATTGACGAATATTCCTATAAATATACCCTGATAATTTGTATTCTGAGCGTCTAAGTGTGATATGTCCCATTGTTGCTGGTATCCATATCTCCTTTAGTCGTTGAATCGTCATCTAACCAAAAGTCTAATAGTTTTGTGTAAACACCATACATACATTTCAGTAATCATAAAACTACATCATGAGGCAAACCTGAACTGCAAATTCTAAAGATTCAGGGAGAAGAAGCAAACCAAAGAACATATTGCACAAAGAATTGGATGCAGACAACGAAAGAATAATTAACACTTGGAAACAACTGGACAGTAGATCCAAAACTGTGATTGGCAGCCTATGATTTACGAGGGGTCACAGGTGTCAATAAGTAGGCAAATATATTTATCTTCACTCTTGAATTTGTAATAGTACGAATTCATCAAACAGATTCTATAAGCGATAGTTAACACTGACATTTGAGTCAGGATTTAATGAGCCTATTTCTGTTAGAGGTGAAATGTCCAACTAATATTCATACGAGTTTGATTTGTGATTGGTCTTGTATGCTTACACCTTCTCTGTATTTGGACAATCTTGATGTAGTGTATTTACTTTCTCGTTGTGAGTCCAACCATATACATGACTGTATAAGTATTGAACTCAACAGTTTCCCTGCAGTTCCGAAAATGGGATTTTGATCTTAATAGTGATAAATGTGGATAGATTCGCCTCATTAATCATCCACTTTATTTTGACTTTACAATAAATAGTGAGGCGTTATCTAGGTTTCATGCAGTTGTGAATTTAAGACCCAAGTATTTCCACAATTTGTTCTTTTCAGGATAGGTCTGGACATCGACTTCTGAATCTAAATGATTTCTGTATTTCATACAACGTAACTTCTATAAATATGATTCACCTTTTAATCCACGAATTATGTACCCGACCACGCCTAGAATGATGCCCTTTTATTCTGAATGGCGTCAACACTAATCATAAACATAGATTGAAATAAATCCTTCTGTGATTAACACTATGCATACCTAGGGATGGTTCTACTATAAACTACAAATTCAGATCCAGTATACTTGAACCCAACCCTTTATGAAAGTGGAGAGTCCAACTAAACATAATTTTCGTCTTCACAATACTAAATAAACCGTCGTTTGCATACATTGGTGCTATCAAGTGAGTAGATCTCCTTAATTTTATCACGCATAACTTTACCAAAAATAAAACCGTCTCATCCTTACTCTTACTTCTTATGAATTACTTGTAAGTTTTCGGAACTTTTGAATAATTTGTTAATCTGTGAATGAAGTTAAATCAATACCACTATTTTCTGATTTATTATTACCTGTAGCTCGATCCTCCCTTTAAAAATAATCAAACTTGTAACTACCTTTTGTTCCACCGATGAAATTTTAAGAACATACAGTGCTTAGTCATTATTTTTACTTAACATGTTAACTAAACCTCTCTCCTCATAGATATTCTACAGTTACATTGTCAACAGTTGACTTGATTAATTTGAATAATATCCATTTAAACCAGTAGGTCATAAAACAACAATAACACATGCGCAACGACAGGTCTATCACACTAATTCTTTTTATTGTTGTTCTATGTTCACTGTTTTCTTTTTTTTCTTCTCTAGTTGTGAATAATTACGAATAATCTGTAATGTCACTAGAATCGCCCCGCGATACACTATTTATACTTCAGTAGGATATCGCAATCCTCCTATCGAAAATTAATGGTTCCCAACTGCTACCTCAAATTATCATAATCCTTGTAACAAAAATGTCCTATCAAGATAATTGATAAGTGGCGCCTTACAAAAAAATTCAACACTAAACATCTGGTCCACACATACACCTTTTTTTCTTACACCAACTTCACAATGTGTATATATTGACACATACTCCTTAATTATTTCCACGATACAATTTGTTTATTTATTTCTCTTTTTATTGCATACAACCATTCATTTTCGCCAATGAGCTCATCTCTATGCTCCCACAGCATCAGCCAATCCAATTCTTCTCTGACCGAAATCGAATACAGTATAGAATTTTCCCATAAAAACGTCACCAAGAACCCAATAGTTAGAAGGTAACGAAAGACGAGATTGAAAAGGTGACAAACAAATTGTTTTAAATAATTCGGTCTCCTGTAATTGAACAAAAAATACATTAGTATGGAAGCAAATTGTTTCCATCTTGTTCGTCTGAATAGTGACCGTCTGAAAGATTATTCAAAGATTAGCAATCATTTCCTTGATCTGGTTAGTTGTTGATTACAAATTGTAATATGCATCACTCAATAAGAAACTAATGATTCATGTTTTCTCTGAGATCGCCTTTCTTCACATTACTTCACATGGATTATGTTGACATCAGTTTAAACTTAGAATTTAATAAGCATTAATGTTTTAAATGATTGCATTAAGTTAGTAATGCACACAGTGGATTGTTTTTCATCATATATACTTTATTCAAAACAGTTATTTGTAACAAAATCTTCCTCACTCTCAGCTTACTAAAAATTAAAAATGATGTGGTCTATTTAGCTCATTCTTTACTCCTAAATTTTCGTAATACTAATATTTTATACAATGCACAGAAAATTCTATGTTTTAATTTTCTGTTCACAGTAAACGATGATGAGCTTAATCCACTAATGGTTTAAGTACTATTGTGGTGTGTGCTACTGATGTAGATAGATATAAGTAGTATGTGTCATCAATCGAAAGTGAAATACCTGGCAGCAGAATGTTAGGAAAATTGGAGAAAGGAGAATGAGAACAGAGACTGATTGGTGTGGAAACGAAGGAACAATAAAGTCTGAGACGATTGACTGATATTTTGCAAATGAAGTATTTACAGTATGGTTCTTAGATTTTAATAACTTGTTCTGTAATTTTATGTTCTAATACATTCGATTATCCCCACTCGTGTTCTTTTTGACTAAACTACTATTAAATTTGTATTAACATTTTCTTATTCCCATATAGCTGTATTTTTGAGAAATTACCTCTACATGTGTCCTAAAAAAGAAATATTATGATAGTGTTATTCGTCCATCTACGTTAGCCAGCTAACAAACGGACGTGGGAATTTACTGTGGTATAAATATGTCAATCGCTAACTCTAAAGTTTAGTGTAGATTGCGTGATTTCGGTTATGAAATACACCAATAATTTTATATAAAGGTTTCATATGAATTAAATTGACCTGTTCATTGAGATGTACCTTTTCAAAACAATCTTACCTATTACAACTTCAAACTGACTGGAACTTCATAATTTTAACAAACAATTCTGTATCAAACATGTCTATCTCATAACTGGTACAGTGACTAGCATTGTTTAAGACAAAATGGATTACTTGTATGCACCTTGACTACATAGTGTTGTGGTTTCAGAATGTACTTTTTCCTATGAAATATGAATTCAATCGAAGGAAGCATATCGATTCGACCACAGTCAATGAATTTTCTTCCAAAAATGTCAAAAGCATGAAGTAAAGAATTGATTCTTTTCACTTGTTCATTTGGTCCAATAATTAAAGATGTTCCAGTATCAATAACAGCAGAACATATGTTGCAAAAGTTTATCCCATTTATTTGCAAACTAAGTGTATATAGAAAACATTTTATTACAAAATATTTATAAAAACTGTTTTACCCATCTGTGAGTTAATTCACAATAAGTGTGGGTCTCTCTCAATAGAACGCTGTTAAACAAATTAGACTAGTTTACTAATATTTTCTTATCAATAAGGTTTATTTAAATTAACTAGTAAATAATCTTAAAGTTGTTGAAACGTCTCATTACGAATATTTTCCGATAAAGATGTAAGAATGTAATATAATAACTGTTCTTGAAATATTTCATTCAACAATTACCTATCTTGGATTACAGTGACATTTGTAAGAAGAAAAGTATGTGAAATATTGAACTTGAAGAAGTGATAAACAGGATGGGATAAACTATTGTGATTTTATTTGGAAATTCGTTATAACTCGTTGCCTTGTGTCCTATTAATATATGGCGGAATGATACCACCAATTAGAGAACAGTGATTTATCGACCGAACCAATGACACGTAAACCCGTACAAGCAGTCTAGACTCCTTATCTGTCCCTCTTCCTGCTTAGCCCTACCTGTTGAGTCCAGAACACCAATCTCAGCCTCTACGATATGAATCATGTATTTTAAACACATTGGGTTTATATGCAAACCAAACCCACCACAAAATAGAAAATAACATTTGTACAAGATCTATCCGAATGTGGCTGTGAATAAGGAAGACTGTAATTAATAGACTGGACATAAAACAAGAGAATGAATGTACACAGTTCAGCTACTTAACAATTATACAATAAAAGTATATGTATATTATTGACCCATAAATAGATCCGAACAGTTACCACTTAATATTATCGTCGAGATATAGCAAAAGTATTGTTCAACATTACTCGAATACATTTTAAACCGTCATTCGAACAGTAACTAACATTGGACATTCACTTCAACCTGACCGGAAACTATTATTTAGATGCGTCTCACTGTTGGTACAAACACACTAACTGAGATTCACATTTCAAACACATAATGCAATCCAAGTGACTTATTTATTTCAATCACTTTATTTCCCATCCCCGAAATAGTGAAATACTTGTTGAGCCTAGTTTATGCATTATGTTCCATTACACTCATTCAATGCAAAAGTCATTTGAATTCCATTCTACACTCATCTGTCTATAACCGATACTTAATAATCATATTCAAATTACAGTACCTTCAGGATGATAGTGTAGTGAACAAGAATATTATGGTTACAGTTTGAACTTAATGGCAGTTTGAGTAAAACTGAATATTTTCACACATTACATTGTTTGTTAATTTTATCAAAAGAGATTTCCTTCGTATGAATTCTAGTGAAATTAGTAACTGATCAACATTCTTAAGTATTTCAAAGTAGGAATGAGTGCTTCCGATGAACACTTAATTGGTATGATTGAAAAGACGTACGTTGATAAAAAGTAGTCCTCTTGAAAGTACTACTCCTTATGACTGATGCACTTATTGGATATTTTTCCAATCCCAATCTGACAAAGTGGTTAGTGATAATCAAACTGGGATCAACTTAAACACTTCTGCTTGAGGTAGACCAAACAACACATTGCATACGAAATTGGATGCAGACATCTAAAGAAGGAATGGCAAGTGGAAATAACTAAAAAGGACAGCTAAATAAAGGGTTGCTTGGAGAATTCTGATCGGCTGTCTATGACCCACGAAGGGTAACAGATGTAAGTAACTGAGTAAAGTGCCAATCTGTGTTCTCTCAAATTCCTATTGATGTTAAGAAAATATCATGATCATCAAATTAAAATTGCGTGAAAATCGACTACCTTAACATTTGAATCGCCCACATATGATTGTGAATAGTAGGTACATATTCAAAATCACCCTTGAAATATTTAGGATTTACACCACCAAGTACCAATTCACCACCGATTCCTTCACCGTTTTCCCTATCAACAAATAAGGAATCTGTGTCTAATTATTGATAATTTTTCTAACGTAATACACTGAAAGACAAGGTTAATAGAATAAACTCTAGTTAGTCGTTTGGACGCGATCTTACCTGATGTAAGAACCAATCACAGTATATGATCATGTCGTTGTGTAAATGTCTATGTGACAAATAATTTAGTAGTTCATTGTCTTTAATGCATATGCTTTATATAAAATAAAATCTACATCATTTGCGATGTAAAATACATTTACACGATGACAAAATTGAGTTGACCTGAAAAAATGTGATGTATTTCCGCCAAAGTCTTCAAACTAAGTGATAATTGTAAATAAAAGAGAGAGAAAATTAACATAGTATGGAACGAATAGGATATCGTCACATAATCATGGGCCATAAAATGATTTAAGGATTACTAGGACAAATTTAAGGTCACTACAAATTGTTTCTGTACATATAAGGGAGTTTTTAATTTACGAATCGTCTTGGCTTCTATAAACTTAAGAATTTGTCCTTGACATTTTCTAAACAACGTTTTAAAAGCTGTATTGATGTCACTTTTATTTGAGAAAACAGCTCTATCTCCCAGAATTTACATCTCATTTACCCATGTTAAAATTTCTAATTTTTCGATCAATACTCAAATAGAAAATCTCTATGTTCCTTTGGACTTTATGGTTCCCAACCAATTCCATGGTTCGCAAATCAGACACAGGTATATTTTGACTTGTGCTGGACCAGATAATGTGGTCTTTGAACGTGACAAGTGTTTTGGCGTGGTTGTTATGAATAAATGTGACTGTGGGGTAAAAATGTTATCTATACTTGATGAGTTCCTGGTGGATGTTTCATCTAATATTAGTGCTAGATTATTGACATCCAGAGTAAATTACAATCTAATGAAGCTCCTTAAACTGAACAAAGTGGAATTCAATTTACTGAAGCCTACCTGTTTCATACTCTCGAATTTATATGGATTACATAAAATTCATAAACTTAATAATCCATTACGACCGATATTGACACTACGTTGTTCACTTACAAATATACTGGCAAAATGGTGATCAAATTGCTAAACTCGATCCGTGAACTAACTGATCTTTCCGATGGCATTAATATTAAAGAAAAAACTGTGCATTCTTTTGACATAAACACGCTTTTTACGAATGTACCTCAAACTAAGAATGTTATTTCTTTTGTGACCATGTATGGAGTAATTTCCCCCTTTTTCCTATTTCATCAACAATTGAAACAACTAGTTTTATTATTTGTTCCGAAAGTTTAATCCACGTTTGAAGGTGAACATTTTCGGCAAGTTGATGGTGTTGTTATGTGTAGCCCGTCGGGACATCTCTTTGCTGATGTATTTATGTTATATGTTGAAAATATCATAAGTGAGCTCATCAGAGAGATAACACCGTATAGGTGATACATGAATGATGTATTAATCATATGTGATGAAGATAAACTCAATGGCGTACAGAGTAATATCGTAATGATCTATGAGGAAGAAAGTAATAATTAATTGCTCCTTTTAGATATACTCTTGAGTCGAAGGGAGGATTGAACCATAAAGCGGTAGCTTTATAGAATGCCAACGCGAACGGGTCAAAATTTTAATTTCCACAGTTTCTGGCCTTCTCAATCCAAGCGGGGTTTGGTAAGTGCATCCTTAATAAAAATCAAGAATCCGTACTACAGATTTATTTGAAGAAGATGCAAAATTCCAGACAGATATACTTATATCAAACGATTATCCATTCAAGTTTACAAATAAATGCAAAAGTCATTCAACAACAAAGCTTCCCTTTAATCTTGCTGCGAAGAAAGTGTTTTATATCTCTTTTTTCCTTTTAGAGGAGAATCTAACAGTGTTATCCGGAGACAGAGACTGAATTCGGTTATCGAAAAAACATTTTACTCTGCTAAACTGGTTTTGGTTAAACGGACTAAGCAAATGATTTGAGATAGATCTAGACATTGCATGACAAATTACTCCGGATCCCATTGGATTTACCAATTTACACGTTTTTATGAATACATACACTTAGGCAAGAGTAATCGACGCAGTGGTCTAGAGGTTAAACGTTCACGCGTGAGACCGATAGGTCCTGCTTTCTAATCCCGCGAGCTGGGTCGTGAGTGAGCATTGCTGAGGAGTCCCGTACTAGGACAAAACGGATGTCCAGTGCTTCCAGGTTTTCCATGGTTGTCTAGCTCTAATCGACTTATGAATTCAACTATTAGATTTCCTATTCGTTGCCTCTTACTTTTCTCTCTCTTTTATTTACAATTATCACTTAGTTTATTTGAACTTTCATTTAATTGACCATTGTCAATTTTCGAATAAAATGCCTTGACAAGTCTGAAATGCTTTTGTGGAAATACATTACATTTTCTCAGATCAACTTCGTGTTTTCGTTATACTATAAAAACGGATTAAGTGATTTAAGTAAATATTAATGCTGTGCATTGCGTCAATTACAAACATCTCTAGGTTTACGAAACAATGTTTCTTTACAAAACAAATGTTTGACATACTTTCATTGCTTAACCTGGTATAAGTGGTGGAAACTAAAAAATCAGAAGTAAAGGAAATACATAGAACATTAAAAACTGCAGTTCACTGTGCTTTATTATCAAACACTGGGAATCTAGTTATCCATAAATCGAATCAATTATAAAACTTGCAGAAAATCTATTATGTTCGTGTGGTTTACATTTCACAAGTTTCCGAGAACTAGTGACATTGTTAGCCGTTTTAACTTTATCTACACAATTAAGTTTCTACTATTTCAGAAGATGATCTTCTTTATAACTGAATTTCAGTGGATCACTTAATAGTTAAATATTATTTGTGTTTACCATGCCTTTTTATGTTTTGGACATCTACATTTTAGGCTAATGACAATTTATGAAAAACTAACAGAAAAATTGAACAGTACTAAAATAAGATCTGTTTGGTATCTGAGTCGTTTGAGATGTATAAGATAGATAAATACGTCACTACTTTTCTTAATTATCTAATTCTATTTATGAACATACATATGCGTATGAGGTAAACATATAAAGTGAACTTATATTAAGTTCTCTGAATACTGTTTTGAAAGGAAGTATTTATTCATTAACACAGTCGTCGGATACTTAGAGAATATTTTACATGTATTTAAGATCTAAGGCACATAATGATAAATTACTAAACAATAAACTTCTGTTTCATTTCAAATTCTAGCGGCCATTGCCATGAATTACTTAAAACCTGATCAATGTATGAATAAGTTGTTGGTGGTATATCTCTCTTTCTCCGAAGAAACTTCTCATAAGATCCGTTTTAAAAAGTACACTAAGTGTAGAAATAAGATGGAGATGATCAACAATATCGAGCTATCAATTCATACATACACGTCTCATGAAATTCAACTATATAAGCTTAAAAATAATAATTGTTGTGCAAGAGTTAACTTCGAATACATCCCAGAATCTGATATATATACTTTAAATATTGCTTTAGATAATAATCTCATAGCAAATGTATATTAAATAGGCTACTGTGAACAACAGATTTAATAACTAAGAAAATGAATCACATACAAAGATGTATAAAACAAATATCACACAATTTGTATTATAAACTCACCGACTTAAATAAAATGAAAATATTGGGTCCATATTCACACCATTAGCTAGTATATTCGGAAACATTGGAAGGTTTCCATCTTCCGATATCCGTCTACTCGACATGCCAATTATTCCATCATATTTATCAGATAAGTAATCGAGATTAAATATACTCCTCACTTCAGCAAACGCTTGATTCCGAATCTCCAACGAGTTTATCTATAACGATATTTTATTTCGAAACATTCGCAATTCTTACTCGTATAGTGTCCACACTCCAAAATCCAGAGAACTCACCATCCAGATATTTGACATGAAAACTGGAACCATCTGCTACATATGTCGAGGATTTCGAGTTGTCGTAAAATGAAAACATCCAACAAAATATATCAAGAAACCAACACTTCCTTGAAGCTAACCATGTGTCAGTGGATCCTGTATCGAACAATACTCGTACAGTTTGAGGTGGAGTTCCCACTGATATCTCACCATAATACTAAATCTTAACATAACGATAATTGAAGCACGAACATCAGATAGTGTGACATAGTGTCAGAGCAGTCGATTTGTTTTTGTTATCTAACGCTAGATATGAAGTTATTCCTCCGTTACGAATCATAGTTGATCGGAATATGTTTTTATTTCCATAACTGATTTTAATATCTACAAACTTCACCAGTGTGTGGCAGAATTTCAGTTGGTGGGAAGCGAGTAAAATATATTCTATCCTACTCATATCATTAAACAGATATTATCAATTCAATCATCACTCCCTCTACTACACAATCACTGTGTCATAGTTACATCTGTGGGAAACATTCACTTAGTCTATTTCATGCACATATTAACGAGTGGCATCTACTTAGTATGAGATCAACGCACATTAATTGAAGGAAAGAAAGTTTGTGTTGGGGACGATAGATCCCCAAAAACTCAAATTTTGTAATTTACTTATCGATTAAATGTGCAGATAGGTCAATTGATGAACTATCGATTAAATGTACAAATAGGTCAATTGATGAACTATCGATTAAAGGTTCAAATAGCAGTCAATTGTTGATTAATGTTCAAAAATCTTCCATGACAATATCTATTGTAAATATTTGTATAAATACGCTTGATTTGTGTGCTTGACTTGACTTGTTATCTGCTGTTTGTCTGGAGAATACACTTTCTACACCTTACCCAGACTTTTTGATCGAGTTAGCAGAGTTAGGGACAACGGACCAGAATAGTCTATCGAGATTCTGAATCCTTGATCCGATCGATAAGTCACTGTCATATAATCGGCTGTCACTTTGAGCCATAACAATTGGCGACGGGGTAAAAAAAAAAGAACAATCCAAAGTCAGCCTTCAGCATCCCGATTTGTCATCAGTGTCCTTCAGCAACATTGGTCATTAATCAAACAGTAATTTGCATTACCGATGCTGAATGAAAAAAATGACTCTCCTTTCCGATCGAGTACAGCTGCTATTTGAAAGACAGTTGGAGTTTTTAGTCAAATTACGCACACAGCTGTTAAATCACTCATGCTTTGGAGATGCAACGGAAGTGGATGGATTGATCTCTCAACTGCACACAGAGCTGGAAAATGATTGCAGCCCCAATGAATCCCCGATAAACCGTATTTCAAACAGTACAACAGTCACTCAAGATTCGCCCAGTGGTCCAGTCCTCTCCATTCCAGAAACATGCCCGGTAATGGACTCAAACCCCATTATCCCCAAAACAGCATGTGCAGACGGTGACTTATCCAGCTCACAAACACACTCCCTGGTAAATGCTCATAGAATTGTCGCAATAACCACCCATGAAACAGAAAACAAATCGAGCAGTACACTGAATACAACTGCTTCAAATGGTTCTCATCAGTCTGCGACAGATGTTTTTGACAAATCTTATTATCAAGATTCTCTTTTACCAGAAAATATGTCAGATGCATCAAATGATGATCAAAAACTTAATACAATTTTGATAGATGCTAATTACCTTGATGATCCATTATCTACAAATAAGATTCCAAATAAATTTGGTCACAATATTTCAGAAGAATTAAACTTCGAACACCTCATATCAAGTGTCGTTCAGCCTCAAGACTTAATCACTTTCAGTCAATTCTCTGTTCAGTGCGATAAATATGTCTTAAATAAATTCAAGTTAATTATAACATGGGCATATGAGGATCCAACACTGTTTCGTGGGGGAGGATGGACATGGAAAACTTAAAATCCGGATATCAACTCCCGATCTTCTAAAAAGGGGAGGAGTGTTGAGGACGATAGATCCCCAAAAACTCAAATTTTGTAATTTACTTATCGATTAAATGTGCAGATAGGTCAATTGATGAACTATCGATTAAATGTACAAATAGGTCAATTGATGAACTATCGATTAAAGGTTCAAATAGCAGTCAATTGTTGATTAATGTTCAAAAATCTTCCATGACAATATCTATTGTAAATATTTGTATAAATACGCTTGATTTGTGTGCTTGACTTGACTTGTTATCTGCTGTTTGTCTGGAGAATACACTTTCTACACCTTACCCAGACTTTTTGATCGAGTTAGCAGAGTTAGGGACAACGGACCAGAATAGTCTATCGAGATTCTGAATCCTTGATCCGATCGATAAGTCACTGTCATATAATCGGCTGTCACTTTGAGACATAACAGTTTGAGACTAACAATCTGACTGTAACACGTACATTTCTAAAATTAACGAGTGGTTTCGATTTTGATATTTTTTATGCTTCCACTCATCCCCTCGATTTCTCGTCGAAGACATAAAATAACTTTTGTGAACTCCAAATCGTGAAGCGCGTCTTTACATCTAGTAGAGAGGGATTTTCACAATTTCACTATGTAAAATGCGGTCGAAACGTGAGAATTATGAGTAGACTCGTTGAATTCCCATTCATAGTCTGGTAGATAATGGTGTTCGTGTTACTCTGGTTTTATTTCATCATGCTATTATTGACACAAACATCTTCAACCAACCTGATCAATATATTGCAAATTAAGTTGTTTATTTGTGGTAATCTGATTCTTGTTTATCTTGTATGAATGGTTTGTTTTACTTACTTCTTGAATTTCAGAGTAATCATTTCCATTGTGCGTCTTATCATTTCATGAAAATGACAGTTGTTCAATAGAAAATTCTTATAAATTTGCTGAAAAATGCCTCCTAGCCCTAACATTACATTTCCGGTTAGCTTGCATTCAATCGTTCGAACGTACATCAGTCAAACTGCATTCCACCCATTTGAGATTGACCACTATCACCGGCATCTTCAATTAGACCGATCATTGAAGGTGAATGGCCACCAATACTAGTAGGTGATTTAAGTATTGATGGTAAATTAGCATTACTATATAATAATGACAAATTTTTTCCTTTGAGGTAATAGACACTTTACTATAAATATCAACCATGATTGAGTGAAAGTTACATGGGCAAGGTGCCGGATGTTTTGTTGAGTATAAAGTCTTATTTTGTGTATTAGCATGTGCTAATTAATCCTTTGTAATATTTAGTCATTTGATTTCAAAGCAAAAACCTTGAAGTAAACTGTAGATGACCATGTGAAAAAAAATATTCTAGAAAATACCATGACCCTAAACGAGAATTCTAATTCCTTACAGATTTTACTCAGTTTGGTTTCGATTTTGTAATGATGCTAGTTGAATATTTCGACAATTAATAGAGGTTCGCACTTCAGATAATGAGATATGACATTATGTTTCTAATCTATTATTAGAATCATTGTTACCGTCTATATTATTCGGCAGACAAAAACGTGTCAAGTGGTTTATGAATGCTCTACTTCTCATCCTAGAGAATATCTAGATATATGGGAACAAACAGAAAATTGTGAAGTCGAATGTGAAAATGATCATGAAAATAACACTAATAGGTTGAGTTTTAAGGTGCAAAACATCTTCCTTAACTCGCTTCAAGGGGTTCGTTAACATGATTCACTTCTTCAAGCTGCATAGTCTACTGATCAGATGAATTCGTTTGTCTTCGTTAACGTATCTTTAGAGTCTGATCGTACAGTAACGCTGTTTGTTTTTCATGGTTATTTGGGCGATTCAGTCAATTTTCATGTGAAAATGCAGATTCAATACCGTCCCAACCTATCACTTTCCTTTACCGTACGTATAATATTCCTCTACTGCAATGTATGAAGGAAAAGAAGAGGATTACGATAATGGACCACACCTATTAGAAGGTAAGAATGAAATTCATTCTAGATGTTTTTCAAAGAACTAGCTCTTTCACTGTACCATAACTTTTAAAAGCACTACAATTAATAAAACAGTTATTATTTGTATATGGGATGCAAATGTGGGTTTCGCGCTTACGTTGTGGATATGTACATTCCAATACACCGTAATAATAAATTTGAAAGGCATAACTTTGTTGAAATTCGTTCGTATACAGTGTACAGTGTAACCACTTGTTTATTAAACACAATATTCACGTTACGTAAGGATTCCAATACAAAATTCAGTGGTGTTAGTAAACAGAGTAAGCGGATATACATACAAATGAAACAGGGATTGGCACAAGAGCCAAATCGGGGCACAAATCTTTATTTATTCTCGTATGTAATTCAGGCAGACGTTCAATACGTAAGTGATAAACAAGAAAACACATTGACAGTACACTAATAAAAACACATATTCGAAATGCAAAATAATTAACAGAATTAAAAGACAGATACTACGAAAAATTCTCAGTATGAGGAATCTCTTAATAATTTTTTGAATTCAAATTTGCTATAAATTTTGTATTTATATTTCATTCACTGTTGAACACACAATTGTAATTTCTATATTTTAGCAACATATTACTGTTTAATTAAATTCTTGTTTCATTCTTCTTATTTAAAACATAAGTTAATCCAATACGTTTCTGACCGAAATCGAATACAGTATAGAATCTTCTCATAAAAACGTCACCGAGAATCCAAAAATTCGGTGGTACAGAATCATCAATGTCAAAAGGTGACGAACACACTGTTTGAAACCAAAAGTCCTCCTGTAATCAAATGAGGAAGACAACAATACAGAAGTAAATTGTTTTGTTCTTATCAGTTAAAATAGTATTTTTAAAACGGATTAAAGACTAGATGCTTATTATTCTCTTCTGTTATTTGCTTTCACATTTATAGAATGGTATAAGTTATCTGTGAGTGTGAAAGTGTGTAGTTCATATTTTCTACCACAACAGTAGTTCATAATGAATTATTTAAATATCAGTTTAAACTTCGCTTTTAGTGAAATTTTCTACGATCAATTATAAACCTAGGAAAGTATTTCGATTAGTAAACAGTTTTGCATTTCCCATTGCAAAGAAAGGAAACTGTTATTAAGTAGTAAACTCTCTCTTACTGCCTTGTCAATTACAACTTCTATTAATACATTATACACTGAAAGCTAACTTTACCAGCTTCATTTTAATCCGATAATTAACTGTCCTTATCAGTTAATAAATTTCAAATATCTGGTGATCATTCGCTATCAGAATAATTGAATCTATACACATGGATTCAGCTCGAATTTAGGAGAAGCGGTTCGACTAGTAAATTTTATATTGTACAAGAATTGTTTGTTAGTACAGAAGACATTATACACGTTGTTAACAATGATATTATTGTTGAAACCTCCAACATGTGTGCATTCTAAAGGGAATTTGTGGTTCTGATTCATCTGTTGCACCGTCTAAATAACTGGAATTACACAATAAGATTAACTAAAGTCATTATATTACTCTGTATTTTGCAAGTTTTATTTCCGTTGAACTGACTTAAAATTGCGAAAGTGAACACACTGAATACACAATATATAACTAAACTGATCTAAAGAAGTCATTCACCTTAATAACATAATCTTGTGGTTCCAATATGTACTTCTTTTTACGAAAGATAAATTCGACAGGAGGCAGCATGTCGATTCGTTTACAGTCAAGGAAATTTCTTCTACCAAATTGATAGGAAATACCAAGCATTGTGTTGATTCTTGTCACTTGCTCTCTTCCACCAATAATCGTTGATGTCCCAGTATCAATAGAAGCAGTACATCCATTGCAAAACTCAATATCATTTATCATCAAGCTGAATGTACATCAAAACATTTTTAAAAAAGCAAGATGTAGAGCTAGCCAAAAAAATAAACAAAAGCAGTTTATTTTGAAAAACGAACACTGAGTCAGGTTATTGAAACACTTTTTAAATCAACTTTGTTTAGCGACTTATAATGATCATACATTTCATTCTTGATACAGTTCGTTGAACGAATGCGTCTATTTGTTGGTGTTAATATTCTTAATGACATCCGCATTCAAGGCAGTGTAACTGTTGATTTCTCACCAAACAAGTGAGTCACGTATGAAATGCCAAAACCAAAACAAGACATTTATCTGTTAAATACGTTACTAATAATGGCAAGACGACATGAACAGTAGTAATTATAAACGTCAAATCGTGAGGACTTCAAGGTATGAGTAGCCGCTCATACCACAATCAACGTTAAGTTGAGTCCTCTGAACGCCCAAACAAGAAACATTATGCATAATAAATGACCAACTAGGTAGAATCAATGACCTTTGACAAACCCGAATAACGTCATTCGTCGAAAAATTAACCGACAGCCAGTCAACGCTAAATTTGGAAGTTGTTGCAAATAAATTAAATTACATCGAGCTACACGTGAAATAAATAAAATTACTTGAGAATTGTGGAGAAATACAATTACAGCAATAAAATGGATGAAATGCCTAGCGCACCTGTAAATATTTAGGTATATCTCACGAACCAATAAACCGACTCTATGAGAAACACGTTCAAAAATGTCCGTTGATAACATGAACTACTTACTAATACACAATAACATAACTAAGGAACAATAATGGATATAGGAAGAACTGAATTGACAGTTTAAAAACGTAATCAACCCTAGCAATTTTTTGCATGAAAATCATAAATACTTGTTAACTTGTTAGAAATTCTGAGCAAAATCACACTTCAAATGTGATATTCTAGCGATATACATGAACTACATCGAGGGTGAGTTGACAAACAAGCACAAATCATTCCAGAAGCAAATAACGTTACCTAATGTAGCTGCAAAATAACAGTTGTAAATAAGAAGAAATATGAAAGGGGCAAAATACAAATAGTAGATAAGTTGAATAAATGTAACCGCTTTGTAAATTCTCTTGTGAAACACCAGACTAGATCATGAACAGACTTATTTATAAACCATTCAGTGTATCATTCATCCAACAGTCATCTTCACTTAATAATTATATCTCCAATTATAATACTTTCATGTAGCTAGCGTAATGAACTGCAGTATTATCGTCCTAGTTTGAACTCACTGACAGATTGAGCACATTCATTTCACTTTTAAGGTGACCGTGTTCTTTCATTTCAAGTAAGAAGTCGGCAACACTTCACACAGTATCGTTTGAAACAGGTTTACCTGTGAGCTTGCCAAATAACTGAAGTTGTGTCGCAAATAGGTATTGCAACTTGTCAACAAGTATAATGGTAACCGTAATATGAAGCACTGTTCAGACTAATAACTCAGTTGGATATATGATGGGTGAATAGAAAGTGATCACTTGATTGCTCAGTGTATTTGACTGATGTGTGTTCGAGTTGGTGAGGAAAGGAAGTCTCTCTAGATTTCAGAAGTTCACCTTCCTACATGGATCACCACAGAAATCCTCTATAGTAACTTCAAAAAAATTAGCCAATTCGATGTCAAGTCACATCTTGCGGCATTCGTTTTATAAAGCTTGATGAACGTGATCTATTCTCCTTTCACACATTACCAAGAGAAATTATGTTGATTTATTTTAATAGGTTAATGAACAAGCCCGTTGATTTACATTAACTCCCAAATACTCAGACCACGCACTACGTTCATCATGAGCGTAGTCAATAAGAAACATGAATTTTATCTTACAGTACTAGACCATGGAGACCTAGTCACGAGGTTAGCTCTGCTTTAAACACTTCTCGTAAATCAATATTCAAATATATATATATATATATATATATATATATATATATATATATATATATACATTGTCCATCTAGAAAAAATCTCTCAAGGGTTTCGAAATCGAATGTTCTTCAGTTATGCAAATACGTAAAACAGTTCAAATAATATCAATTTTCCGGCTTCACCTCATTTAGACAAATAAAACAATATATAACTTCACTCCACCAAACAAACTTTCCAACAAGTTAATTTGCACTTTCCGAAAGCGATTGAGATGTACATATCTTACTGAACTTGATCAAACACTACCTTGACATTCTAACTGCCCATATATTGTTGTTTACGGTCGGCATATATTCCAAATCTCCCTCAAAATATTCAGGATTAACACCACCAAGTACCATTTCACCACCGAACGAAGTCCCGTTTTCCCTACAACGAAGTAATAAATCCATTTTATTATCATTCATATTATTTCCACTGTAAAAATATATTACTATAAAACGTCACACCAACTGAAATCAACAATGTTGTCACGGTATCACCTGATACGTGAATAAGTCAAAGTGTATAATCACCCTGTTTCATGACTGTTCGGCATGTTAATTATACTCATTTTATAGTGTCGATTAACACTATCCATGTAAAGGGTAACAAAATTCACTAAGTAAAACACAAACACAGAAAGAAATAGGAGTACTTGTTGATGAATACACAAACATGATACCTGACAAGCATTATTACCGATCATTTTGAGTTAAAACAATGAATGTCTGAAATAGAAGTTCATTAAACCATAAAATATTGAATAGTATTTATGAAATGTCCTTGTTTAACATTCACAGATTCGATCAACATAGCTTCTTTCAAAAAAATTCACAGAATGTACATTTTCATAAAAACTAAGAAATTAGTGTTGTAAACTTCGGATGCACTCGTGCATTATTTATGAGAAGATCAATGAAGACTGAATAATTTTTTTTCAAAGATAAATTTCAAATAAAACTGGAACAAAACGATTAACAACATAAAATGTACTCATACGGATGCATAAAATATGATGATGTGAAAAGATATTGACGAGATAAAAATCAAATGAAAGAATTCTAGTCACAATTAAATGTACAGTCGACAAATACAATACTTCTATCGTCCATGGGAAGGTATATTTTGTCAATCGCTCGTCTAAATACATCAATCCACTTTTGCATTAGAATCATTGTTAAGTGAGCCGAGACATTATAATTTGATGTTATCACTGACATTAGTCACACTTCTTTTGGTAAATCGTAACCTAATGTGGAAATATAAACCTACAGTCAACATGTTAAGCACATTAATTGAAACTTCACCATCAAATAACTAACAGTACACACAAGACGAATTTGTATGTTTTCATGACAACAATTAAAACTGATGTAATTAAAATTCGAACAGAGTAAGGCTGTGGTGTCTCAATGTTTTCATTTGATCGCTTCTAAACAACATCCATCATCTCAGATAACTTTCACGAAATATATCTTCAGAACAACTTGGTTACCTTAAAAACCTTGAACTACTTGTATTTCAAACATATTGACTGGTTGCAAATGCAGTTACTGAGATCAACCGTTGTCAACCAAATATCAAATGAAAAAGATTATAATTAAGCTTTTCTCAGTTTAGTGATATTCAAAACCGAATGATTAAATTATACAAAATCTGAATTTCATATATACGAATCTAACTCGAATTATCGCACAACTCACTGACTTAAATAAAATGAAAATATTGGGTCCATATTCGGGAAATTCTGAAGTATATTTGGGAATACTGGGATATTCCCATATTTCGACATCTGTCTACTCGACATGCCAATTATTCCATCATATTTATCAGATAAGTAATCGAGATTAAATATACTCCTCACTTCAGCAAACGCTTGATTCCGAATCTCCAACGAGTTTATCTATAACAGTATTTTATTTCGAAACATTCGCAATTCTTACTCGTATAGTGTCCACACTCCAAAATCCAGAGTACACACTGTCTAAATAATGGACATTATAAATGGAACCGTTTGGTCTGTAAGTGGATGATTTTGAGCTGACGTAAAATGAAAACATCCAACAAAATATATCAAGAAACCAACACTTCCTTGAAGCTAACCATGTGTCAGTGGATCCTGTATCAAACAATACTCGTAACTTTTGAGGTGGAGTTCCCACTGATATCTCACCATAATACTGAAGCTAAATTAAAAGATTATTTCGCATTCAACATTTAGACAGTGTGATATGCAAATAATAATTATTCTTCTATACTTTAAAAAATTCTTTTAATTTGAAATAACTTTGAGATAATATGCACTTCTGGTCATGATATTTTGTTATTTGTATCGGTGATTAAATTGCCGGATTTTCCAATGAATCTATGATACTTTGCCTGTTGAGAACTATATCAATGAGCAATATTCCGTTGTATCGATTTTCACAGGCATACTTCAACAGTTAAACACCATAACTTACACTTCTACGTCGCTGTGTCATCGTGGTTACTTTTGGAAAATAATCCACTGAGTTTATTTCACACACAAGAAGAGAAGTCGTCATATTTCGTGTTGCTTATTAGACATACATTAAGTTGGATTTCATACTATGAACATGATTGATACACTTACGTTTTCATAATTAATCAATTGTTCCGGTGTAGATGTATTCTGCTTATTCCATTCATACTTCCATTTTCTCGTCGAAGGCTTAAAGTAAGTCGCACCAAGTCCCACCAATGAATCAGATCTTTTCAAAGGGTGGAGAGGAATTCTCACAATCTCACCAAGTAAATATGGTAGGAAACCGACAATTATGAATAGAATCATTGAAATCGGTTTGAGTACGCTGAAACGTAGTGATGTTTATGTCACTTTTATTTTGTTTTCATCATGTTTTATTGACAAAGGTGTGTCAAATTAACTAGAAGATTGATTATAAACAAACCTGATTACTAGTGGTAATTCGATACTTGTTTAATGTGCGTCACTATCACCAAGAAAATGGTTTGAATTACTAAGGAAACACACTTTTATTCTGTGAATCATTGTATGATGGGAACAGCTTCTATTGTGTATCAAAATTACGATAATGTATCAGTGTGATCTCCAACTCAAACTGTACGAGTATTGTTCGATACAGGATCCACTGACACATGGTTAGCTTCAAGGAAGTGTTGGTTTCTTGATATATTTTGTTGGATGTTTTCATTTTACGACAGCTCAAAATCATCCACTTACAGACCAAACGGTTCCATTTATAATGTCCATTATTTAGACAGTGTGTACTCTGGATTTTGGAGTGTGGACACTATACGAGTAAGAATTGCGAATGTTTCGAAATAAAATACTGTTATAGATAAACTCGTTGGAGATTCGGAATCAAGCGTTTGCTGAAGTGAGGAGTATATTTAATCTCGATTACTTATCTGATAAATATGATGGAATAATTGGCATGTCGAGTAGACAGATGTCGAAATATGGGAATATCCCAGTATTCCCAAATATACTTCAGAATTTCCCGAATATGGATCTAGTGTTTACGTAGTTTCGTTTGTTCATAGACTGAGTAAATTGGGAAAATTTGTCACTTAGCCAAATTGCTACGACCCGGTAACCGTATGTCCACACTCATCTCTTGTCATTCATCCTTCTTATATCCGTACACTCAGTCATCCATTGAGTTTCATAATTCCTACGATGCAGACATATTAGTCTAGGTTGACTAGATAGTTATGCACACTTTCGGACGACTTTAACAACAGATAAAACAAATAACAACTTCGGATATTAATTTTGTTTTCTTCAAATATTTTCAAATATATTCAGGCATTCTCCATATTTTCATTATTTACAAACATATCGACAGAATAATTCAATCATACGTTCATTCAAACGATTTAAGTATGGGATATTGGAGTCAAACGACCGCATAATTGAAAAGATTCTAACGATGAATCGCTTTACTAGAACGCAGATCCCTGAAGAGATTTGTTGCATTCAGGAATGCGTTATTCCAAAAGTCATCAATAGTTAACAGTCCACACAAAACATGTTTTCACAAGTCCCCCAGTCTAACGTGATGACATTTCATGAATGACTGACAAAAGAATAAGTACGGTGATGAGATCGGAGTTTTCTTGGAAACAAACTGATCATGATACATAACTTGACTAAGTAGATCAGTACCAACATTAAGCCACATCAAGTTGTGTTTATGAATTTGGAAAATTATTTTTATAGATACACCAAGTGTTGTTAAAGGTGTACAGGATCTATAACGTAGAACAATCTGATAACACATACGTCCATCAAGTGATGTCCATATGAAGTTTATATTTTAGTTAAACAAAGTGTCATATGGTTACGAAGGAATGATTAAAAATATGAGAGCGATAATATAATGTAAGCAAAATACAAAGTAATTTATTAACCAATTAGAAGAATGATAAACAACTCTAGTGTCAAGATTCAGGTTACAGGGTAATAAAATCAGAAAAAATATTCAGAGCATTTGTTGCTAATTGATGCTAAGGTGATTCAAGCACACAATTGGTCGCTTTAACTACTCTTTCAAATGGATATTTCTACACTTGCGAAATGATGAATCAATCACGATATAATGAGACAATTCATCCAGTCTTAAAGCCTATGTGTTATAATAGACTTTTTCTTTTTGATGGCAATCAGTTTTGTCTGATCCTCCCTTATGTAGTAGCCAATTCTAAATTCTTTCTCCAAAGCTTTTGAAATGAAGCTCCCACTGATATCTCACTATAGCACTGAACATGAACTAAAAGAATTTTTGCACCTAAACCAGATATATCGACAGACCTGTAGTGACCTACTTTTATCAAGAGAACGCTATTGGTTTAATGGAAACAATTATTATTATAACCAATCGTACCAGTGACTATTTTACTGTACATGTTTGTTTAATTGTACTAAGAATATACATTCTTCCATTGATTGTAACCTTGCGCAAATTCGGTTACACTCAGTAACCACACATGTAACCCGGCACGATCTCGATATCCTTTCGATACCACGAGATCACCAACAAATACATCTCGATTACAGCCATCAACTGCCTTCTAATATTTGGCTTACGATGGATCTTATCGGTTAACTGGCACGTAGTCTTCGTGTAGTGGTGATCATAGTCAACCGCGACTCGACGCCCCGCAACAGACCCTTTTGCATACCGTACAACTGCTACGACAGTAGCTCACGGTGAATAATTTGCTGACTGATTGACACTTAGTGTTTCCAGTCTGTCAAGTTCTTGACGGACAAACGAGAGAGCACTATAAGAAATTGGTCGTTTTTATCTGAAGACGGGCTTTGAGTTTTGTTTTAATGGCAAAAATACTTTAGTGAACTTACGGCAACCCACTTTGTTCTAAAATACAGCTGGATGCATTTGTCGAAGACAATTTACATGAGTTACGGTTGGTATTTTAGAGGAAACAGTGAACTTTGGTATCGAAATACCAATATTGAATAAAGCCATTAATAATAATAAAAATAATAAAATAATTAGGACAAAATGAATGAGACTTTCAAATCTTATGAGAGTATTTTTTCTTGAAAGTATTTGACTTGAAATCATTATGAGATGGCACTTCAGAGGCATTCGATTCAGAAGTATTATGGGAAATTTGAAAAGATTCAGAGGAAGGCTTTTGAGAATATATATGGTTTGATTCAAACTTTGCTGAGTTGCCTGGTGAATTCCAATGACTTATACGTAAACCCTCTCAGTACATTTTTACTTAGTCACCTGTCTATCCATCCATTCATCCGTTAGTTACATTCCACCATTATATTAATAGATAAATCTTGAGACATGCTGGCTAAACGACACTGAACAGTTCGAATTGCTCTCATAACATTGCGGATTAGACCAGTCTAACATTTTACTGAGTATGTTTCAATACAACACAAAGATAAGTGATTAAATCTAACAGTTACAATATAAATTCAATCCAATCACAAGGTCTTACTGTTTTATTATTACAATACCGCCATCATTCCAGTCTAGTTGTGTTCACTCACTCCTATTATACTTTGTTCGTTTATTATTATTGTATACCCTAGTGAACTGTAGTGTTTGTATGAACTAATGATTTCTTTGTACTTGAGTACTGCGTGGTTAGAATTCTAAATACAATACGTCCGTTTGTGCTCATATAGAAATTTCTGACTAAATAGCGTTGCTTTAATGATTCCTAGTACGCACAATAATTTAAATCTTTTAACTATCACATGAAGTCAATAAACTAAATTTGTATTCAGGAACACCTGAATTCCATTCTTACTCGACTCATTTGTCCTCGGTCACCGAGTTTATAGATAACGAACGTGACACAAAATTAGATATTATCTTTGAGTGAAGCAGGATATAGTTTCTTAAGTGTGCGTACTGATCAACATCAGTAAAATATTTTATGCATCACATATAGTTGGAGAATCAAGACATATATTACGATATTATGACATACCGAAATGGATGATCGCCAAACATTAGTGGTATATTGTTGTGTTTGAATGGACTAATGATACCTTTGTACTTGTTG